AACTTTAAATCTTTAAGCACCCAACAGCACGGTGTCCCTCTTCACCACAAGCAAAGCAGTGATTACAGTTGGTATGTTTGTTGGCTATGCAGTGAGGGCAGCTGGATGACCTTTCCTTTTTCACTGGTCTGCTTTGTTTGTTAGAATAACGACAGGAACACTGGTGCTGAAGCTCAGGGTTAGGTGGCTTTACCGCTGCTGTAGCATTTGACTATAGAGAGTTTACTACCTGAGTCAGGGCATGTACTTGAGCGCTCAGCTCATGAATCAGCTCATCTTTCACACTGGTTTCAGTGTTACTCTTGTCTTTGTTCACATACCCAGCATTAGTCTCAGTACTTTGTATGTGAGCTGTTTTTTGGGCGAGTGTCACACCCCAAACACCGTTTTCTCTCACTTTCCTCACTAGTTGTTTTGATAACCTGTCTTAGTATTGCATCATCAGGGACAGCAGGGCCAGCGAGAACTCCCACCTCATATAAGAACATAAGAACATAAGAACATAAGAACATATTGTCATGCTTCTCATTTAAACCATGATAAATTGTGCGAAGGAAAACATTTTGTGCCGTTTTAGCCTCGTACTTCACATCGGAATCTGTCTGCTGAGATGTAAAGATCACCTTTTGTTTTGGAACTTTGGGTCTTGGTCAGGTGTCCGTGGAACCTCCGTCGCAAGCTGGAACAACTCATCAGCAAAAAGATGGAAAAGTCTTTTCTTCACAGCCCAAACCAGCTTCTTCCTCTTGTTGTCTGCCATTGTGGATGTTTATCAGATGCCCTTGGTTCTCTAAGTCCCTTAGTGCCCTGGATTCGAACAGCCCCTAGCTAGCACAACACGGTTCCATAATTTAAGATCATGTATGATCTATTTTATATTATATAATATTATTTTCAGAACCACAATGACTGTAATACAATGGGCGCATTACGTGCTCAATTTTGGCATTAGTGCATGAGCTGAAGACCAAATATAACCAAAGTGCTTCAAACAATAATTACCACAGACATTGGCTGTACATTAATTTACACAAACAAATAAAATGAAATGGTTTACAAACATGTCATTCTTTCTCTTTTTTTCCGAGCTTAGTGGAAACTTCTGGAACGTGACGGACGTTAACAAAACGCAGCGCGACTGCACAGTTCACACAATGTTCGCAAATAACAAAACAGCTTATCTAAATCACCTTACAAGAACCTTAAGAACAAAAAAAAAACATGGTACAATGCCACAATGTAGTGTACTGGAACTGAAAACGAAATAAATTCGTACTAACTCAAAAAATTATGGCAGCCGCCATTTTGGTTCCATCAAATGAAGTCAAATATCTCCACTGTGTTGAAATATTCACAAAATACCATAACACAAAGGTGCCACTTTGTCTTTGTTCAACATTTTTAATTTTCTACTGTTTCTAAATTATGAAAAAGTTACAGTATGAGTTTCTATTATTCAAGAAATTGAAATAGATGGTACAGTTGTCAGCTTTGATTTGAGAAATTAGACATAAAAAAATTGGACTAATTCAACATACATATAAATAGTCTACGTAAAAGCAGAACACAGCAACATTACATTACAGCACATTACCCAGGTAGAAAAATATTCATATAGACAGCGTTAATAATTAACATCAACAGTAATATCAACAGCTGTGAAATGTCTACAGATTGTCGTTAACATTCTGTAATGCATTAGTCATAATTATTTAGTAATTAAGGCTTGATTTTTAAATGATTAGATATATAGATTAGCTTATGCTATTTAATAAAACAGGTACGACATTACAATAAGCCTCACTTTTGCCACTTGTAAATGGTAGTAACTTATTAATAAAAAGATACCTGTGTTATAACTTGTTTAAAATTGTCAAAAATTGTGTTACAACCTAATTAATAACCAGATCATAAACCATTTGTAAACCCTTTATATGGGGAGCCTTATTGTAAAGTGGCATCCAAATACACTATTGGCCAGTTTCCCAGTCAAGGATTAAGCCTAAGCCTAGACTAGCTTTGAGTTTCAATGGTGAATCTCCATTGATACTGCAATTTAGTCCAAGACTGGGCTTAATCCTTGTTTGGGAAACTGGCCCTATATCTTGTTTTTTTCTCATGGCTGTAGGAATGCAGCCCAGGTCTCCAGCTTGCTGTCCTGGTTTAAGTTCATGGTTCATGCTTGGACCAGGAATCCAGGTCATCATAGATCTTTCTGGGTGGCAGGCGTTCATATATTTCACATATCTTGCAAAATCGCTCCTGCCAGCTGTAGTACCTTTTAACATCATAATCAC